TGTGTGTGTGTGTGTGTGTGTGTGTGTGTGTGTACAGGGGGTGGCTGGGGGGTGTAGGGAGAGGGGTGTGTGTGTGCAGGGGTGGCTGTTGAGGGTGTAGGGAGAGGTGTGTGTACAGGGAGTGGCTAGGGGTGGCTGTTGGGAGCGGTGGCTTGGGGTGTTGGGGGACATGTGGGGGGGGAGAGAGTGGGCTCTGGGTGTGGTGGGGGATTGTTCTGTTCTTTGTGCACACGGGCTCTACAAACGTGCAAACATCGTGTGCTCTCTAATGCGCATCGCGCATGCCTGGAGCTCCCCCTCCCCCTCCCCCTGTGCCCTTTGCCCCGGATGTCCATCTCGGCCTTGCCGAGAGGTGGGGAGGAGCCGCGGGAGCCGGAACCTGCTGCTGGGTGGGTAGGGCTGGGGCTTGGGGGGTTTGAGGAGGGCGCGTGGGGGGCTGTGTGCATGGTGCGGGGGCGGTCTGGAGGGGAGGGGGTTTTGAGGGGGGCTGTGTGCATGGTGCGGGGGCGGTCGGGGGCCTGTGTAGAGTGGCGCATTGGGATTGATCTAGGGCGGCGGGTGAGGTGAGTTACACACGTCATTGCTCACACCTGTGTAACTAATGGGCGTGGCTACACAAGTAGCTCCCTGTAGACCAGCGGTTCTTTACTGTCCTTGTTGTGTTGCGCAGGGCTAGTGCAGCGGGCTCCTAGGCGCTGTGGTTGTACAAATAATGATACTTTTACAAACCATGTTCTGACCGTGTGAGCGCTGAGAGAGCAGAGATCTCTGAATGTGATGGGGGTGGAATTGATAAATGATGGACTCCTTATACAGTTATGGAACAGATTGATGAATTAAACAGTAGTAAATCCCCAGCGCTAGATGGGATTCACCCAGGAGCTCTGAAGGGACTCTCATTTGAAATGCAGAACTACTAACTGTGATATGTAACTTATCACTTAAATTGGCCTCTGTACCAGATGATTGGAGGATTGCTAATGAGTAAGGTTAAGATTCTGTCACAGATATTTTTAGTAAAGTCAGGGACAGGTCATGGGCAATCAACAAACATTCAAAAAAAGAAGAACAGGAGTACTTGTGGCACCTTAGAGACTAACAAATTTATTAGAGCATAAGCTTTCGTGGACTACAGCCCAC